TTCATCATCTGTGATGTAGTTTTGCATTACTTGTAGTTTAGCATTACTTCACTGTATACAGCAGGTAGTTTGCGTCTGCATCTGTCTATCTGTTCTTGTGCTGTTGGGTTTTTTTTTTTTTTTGGCTGCCAGTTTCTACTTGAACAGAGTTTGAGGACATGAAAGACAGCAGAAGTGAGGAGGTGTTGGGTGAGAGGGAAGGAAGGAAGGTGAAGGATAAGAAGGTAATTCTCCACCATGATTCAGTGTTTGATATTTGACCCTGAGCTCTGATCGATCGCTTCTGCTGTGTGAAAGCGGCCTGTGAGTCTAGCTGTCTACCACCACTTCATCCTGAGTAAAAGTTCACTGTCAAACAATTTGTGATAGTTGCAGGTGCACCAATAGCTTCAGCTTCAGTAAATCGAGCACCAGAGTATCTCTCTCTCTCTCTGTGTGCATGTATGTGTGTCTCCAGTGGAACAATTAGGAAGTTGCTGTTTGGCTTAAGGATACACCAGTATTCATATTTAAATCCTCTTGGATTTAAAGATCAGACATGGCAACACCTCTAGGTGATCTGGCTGCTGCCAATTTTAAATCACCCTTAGTTTTTGCTTTAATTACATTTAACTATTAAATATTCTGCTAAAAAAAATCACTATCTAAAACTGATATGGACTCATGAGTAGTCACAAGTGGTTGCCATGGTGAACTGGTCAGTTTTGTCTTGTACACCAATTGTGTTAGTTATGATTTAACATGGGTTGTTTTGTATCACTGCTTGGTCTTGGCCTCTTTTGCAGTATCACAATAATGAAATAACTTCATTATTAAGCCCTGGAAAGTAACCATGACTTGCATAAGTTGGAAAATAACCTCATAAATTAGGAACATTGCAAAATGAACATCATAGCTGCGCTACAAAAAAAATTAACCAAAAATGGAAATATATTTTGGAAAATGAATAATGATGAGAGCTAGCCAGACAAATAGCTCATTTATTGCCATGTTTCCCAACTTTTAGTTATATGAAGCAATTCAATACTGTAAAAAAAAATGACTGTTGGGGGAACACAGTCATTAAGTAGTTTCTATAAAGGAATTTGCAAACGAAGGCTGGAGAAAGTCATGTGGTAGTGCCTTCAGTAGAGTCCAGAGACCCAACAGGATTTATGGATGAGGTTTTTTTTCTTCTTTTACTTATTTGGAGAAAGAAAGTTGGGTCATTTTACATAGGTAAGCACTGCACACCACACCAGTAATCTCAGCATGAGGTTACGCTGCATGATTGTGCAGCTACACAAAGATCAGGAGCAGACTGATATGGTTGGTAGCTACCAAATACGACCAGAGGGTTAGCAGAAAGAAGATGATCATTCAGACATCTGTTTTCTTCTTTCCTATCCTACTAATCACCATATGTCCTCTCAATTTTGTCCTGACCCCTGATTACCATGATTGAATATGAACACTGGCACCCCACAGGGATATGTCCTCAGTCCCATCCTCTACACCCTGTTCACCCATGACTGTGTCGCCTCCCACAAAGACAACATCATCCTAAAGTTTGTGGATGACACCACAGTGATAGGTCGCATCACTGGCGAGGACGAAGCAGCCTACAGGAGGGAGATGGCTGGTCTGGTGTCATGGTGCAAGGACAATAATCTCAGCCTCAACACAGACAAGACAAAGGAGATGATAGTGGACATGAGGAAGGAGAGGAGATCTCATCAGCCACTGTTCATCCGGGGGTTCGAAGTGGAGAGGGTGAGCAGCTTCAAATACCTGGGCCTCCACATCAGTGAGGACCTCACTTGGACACTTAACACCACACACCTGGTCAAGAAGGCCCAACAGCGGCTGTACTTCCTGAGGAGGTTTGGCATGTCGCCTAGAATCCTTTGCAACTTCTACAGCTGCATCACTGATCCTCAAAGATCCCACCCACCCCCAGCACGGACTGGTCGCCTCCCTGTCCTCTGGCCGGAGGATCAGAAGTGTGAAATGCAGGACCACTAGACTGAAAAACTCTTTCTTTCCCTCTGCCATTAGACTCCTAAACAGCTGAGGAGTTTATTACCAGGAAATATGTGATGTACTGTTTACATTCTGTTTGCACATGTATAATTGCACATTGGCTGTTGACTGCTGCACATGCTGCTCCCATGTAGCATACATTCTCTATTATATTCTTATATATTTTTTATTATATTGCTGCATTGCTGCTTAAAGTGTCTTAGATTTTGTGTTACTTATTTATCTACTTTATATTTCACTTATATTTTGTGGCATTCATGTGGATGGCAAAGTAAGAATTTCATTGTACAGGGAAACATGTTTCCTAACTGTGCATATGACAAATAAACACTTTGACCTTGACCTTGACCTTGACCTACTTTTAGACTAAGGAGTAAAAGCAATGTTTGATCCAGATCCTAAATGAATTTATTTATGTGTTTTTCTGACTCTGAGACACTTGATCAGTGCTGCTGACAGCAGCAACATCACTTGATGAGTCACACATCAAATCCAGTTCTGCCACAACAGTTCAATCTTTGTAACTGGCCACTGAAAGCCTTTAATGTTGCTTGTGTGTCTCACATCTAGAAGCCTGCCTGACCCTGAGTCTCAGAAAGAAAGAGACAGCGAGAGAAACGGTTAACATTTATCTGTGTTGGGTCCTTCAGAAAACTCCAGCTGCCTGACTCATTGCCCAGCAAAAGGTAGCAGTTCCGAACTTGTCTGAAACAATTTCTGTCACTCTGAGAAAAAGAGATAAGAGGGGTCCATTGAGACGCACTGTGGGCCACACTATATAGTTCAAGAGACTTCAGAGGAACAAATGGAGAGAGCAGTAGAGTCAAAAGCAGAAAAAGTGGAGGCCGGGGAGAGGGACAGAGTGATTGGATAGCAAAGGGAAAAACAGAAACACTAAAAACTTAGGAGTCTATAGGGGGATGTGTGAGGAGAGAGATGGGAAATTAAGTACTCAAAGCAATTTAAGTGAGAGAAGGAAATAGGGGAACATATTAAAGTGGTCTTCTACATCTGAGAGAGAAACTGAGTTAGGTAGCGCCAGGCGTTATAAGTGGCTTCTGCTGAATCTCAGAAAATTGACAGAGATTGGAAATGCAGAGGAATAGAAGGAAACAAGTAAGTAATGCTCAAAAGCAACAAAAGAATCAGGAAAACCAGAAAGTGATGGAAGGAGCAATGCTTGGAACAAAAAGGAAGACAACGAAGGGAAAACTTAGTGTAGCAATAAAGAAAGGTCAAATAAATGAACAGAGATAAAGTTTCTCTAGGTTTATGTTCAGAAAAGTTCAACACGCTACCGACTCACTTTGTGCCTGCAGGAGAGGTTTATTTAGGAGGTGAAGGTAATGTGTAGCTCTTAGTGGTTTGCTCTCTCTTTCTCTGCTCCAGACCGTGGAAATGAAGAGCACACTGAAATGTTATCTGTCTGGTCCTGAAGGGTTATATTACACACACAGACACACACACACACACATCACCTTGGGATTTTAGTGGTAATGTCACACGGATAGCCAGCCAGATAAATATTACTTGTCCTTTGCTCAGCTCTAGACTGTTACCTGGGGCATCCACTGTTTTATAGCAACTGCAATAATGACCCGCTCCCAAACTATAACTATAAAATATAGTGTGTGTATGTGTGTGTGTGTCTGTGTGTGTACTACATGCATACATGCATGGATGTAGGATATGATTAAACAACATGATTGGGAGCACAATTCAACAAAAAATGGAAACTTTTCTAATAAGAAAGATGAAAACATCTCAAGGCCCAGCATAAACACCTGCTTCTCTGTGGCATGTTGCTGTGCATGTGTGTAACTCAGTGTGTGTTTGAGAACAAGAAATATGAGATCATATTTCTGCCTGATCTTTGTAAGGGGTTCAGTGTATTTGCATGCTAGAGAGAGTGGGGTTTTTCTTTTCTGTGACTGTAAACACTCATATCCAAGAAATAGAAGTGATTCTCAAGATAAAATTCCTGCCATTTGTATTTGAACGTTATTCTTTCAATGCTCAAAACCTCAACACGTTTTGCCAAAATTCTGGAACATGATTGCCACAAGGAGGTGAACCTCCTCCTGCATTTTTTATCACCTACAGACTCCATACAGTGAAGGATGCCTCTTGTCCTGCAAAGCACATTATCAAGCTCTCAAAAGAAACAGAGTGGGGGGGGGGGATATGTCAGTCACTTACAGGATAGAAAGAGAAAGGAAGACATAGACTGACAGCCAGAAATGCAGAGGAAGTCAGGCAGAGGCAGAGCTGTGTTTGAATAGCAAACAGAGCCTGTCAGTCCCACAGAGCTGAAGGAACCAGGGGTTTGTTAGGCAGCAGCAGACGTCATCTTACATTTAATTAGGGGTACTGCTCACATGTTCAGTTCAACTTAGCTGACAATGTTGGCTCAGCTTTTAGTTGCACAGAGGAGTGTGATCATGCATGAAAACACAAATACATAGATTTATCTCCACTGTGGATTAAATGCAAAATTCAAGTGGTCTATCACAGCAAAACAGTTTATGGCAAGGTGATATTTGAGGTTTCAAACAGACATCTGTCCATTAGTTTGGTTTTTGTGAGAGACTGTAAGCGTGTAGTTGATCATATGGATAAAACTGTTCATTTGAATGGGGCCACTAAATAGTAAATGCTAACAGCAGATGAGATGTGCTATGAATTAGTACTGTATGTGTTTGTATGTCAGATCGGGTTCTTAAGGCAAATGTCAAAAGCAGCAGTTTAGTGTGTGTCGTCACACCACTGTGTTTACTGAAGGACCAGAAAAAGAAAAGAAAGAAAAATACACAGCAAAAATGAAATTAAAGTTTGATAAGAAGTAAGAAAAATGTTGTCTTTTCCCCTCTGATGACAGCAGTAGATTGAGTTTCAACTCTTCTCATTAATTTTTGTCTGTGTGTGTCTCTCTCTCTGTGTGTGCATGTGTGTGTGTGTGTGTGTGTGTGTGTGTGTAGCGTGCACTGACACAGAGCTTCACAGTCTGGCTGCCAGACTGAAGGACTGGTTCGGAGTTCTCCACCTCGATGCCAACAGAGACCTCAAATCCTCTGACAGCTCTGACTCCGCTATTGGACGTGAGTGCCCACAATATGTACGTGTGTGGAAGCTGTGTGTGTGTGTGTGTGTGTGTGTGTACAACTCTTTCCTGGTGACCTGTCACTCTTTTTGTTCTTCAAGAGGGTTGGTGGTAATGTTGACAGAGACCCCGCTTTGTTGCCTGTAATGTCAACATGTCTGAACACATCTTGGCCTTGCCATCGCACACACACACACACACACACCTGGACACTCAAATCTCAGTGCACTATTTGAAAAAAGTGTAAGTGACAGTTTTGACAAATATTCACTTTAATGATTTTTTTTCTCTACTTTTTGCCTCTTTGTCTCTTTGTCTCAACCAGACTTTGACACCAGCATCTTGCCCATCTGTAAGGACTCACTGGGCTGGATGTTCAACAAGCTAGACATGAACTTTGACCTCCTGCTGGACCAGTCAGAGCTGAGTGCTATCTACCTGGACAAATATGAGCTGTGCATGAAACCCCTGTTCAACTCCTGTGACTCTTTTAAGGATGGCAAGCTGTCAAACAACGAGTGGTGCTACTGCTTCCAGAAACCTGAGGG